TGCACTATCTATCTGCTCCAAAACCAGCTCAGCCCCCTGCGAGCCAGGAAATTGCATCCTTGTGGCAGATCAGTCCCTTAGATCACTGCAAGCGGTTATTGCTCAAATAACAGTCGTCCCAAAGCCCTCCTCTCCCTCCCGTCCCCCGGCACCGGAGCTCACAGGGGCCTCCCCCCCCACTCACTGAATTGCAGGCGTTGGCTCGCTCCACCTTGGACAGTTTGCTGGTGTCAGTGTTGAAGACGTTCATCTTCTCCACCAGGCACGTCAGGGCTGTTTCAGTGGCCTCCCCCACCTTCTCGTAGACTTTTTTGGACTAGAGGGCAGAGAAAAAAAAAAAAGGAGCTTAAGCTTTAGAGAACATCCTCTACCTGTTGCTCCAACCAAGGATGCTGTCGCCCACTGTACCATCCCGGGGCTCCCAGAGCATCGCCTTGGGATGAGTTGAAGCCAGGGCAGGGGATCCCAAGGGACAAACCTCAGCTGGCTTTGCCCCAAAGTGGCCCAAAGCGCAAGGAAGAGCATCGCCGGTCCCCCGCACCACCCCGGCCCTGGTGCCCCCCGCACCTCGTTGTAGTCCAGCGAGGAGTCGTTGCAGAGGGCGCAGATGGTGGCCAGCTCCACCAGCCCGTCGTACTGCCCGCACTGCACCGGCTGCTTGTCCTTCAGACTGCGGGGAGAAAACAAACCCCCAAAGCCTTACACCAGCTTACAAGTTCAAATAATACTTAGCTTCTCCTATATATCCCTTGTAAAATTTTCTGAAAAGAGGGAGAAGGAGCCCAGTTGAAGCCCCGGGCTTGGCAATAAATGCTTGAGTTTGCATTTTGTCTTTACCAAATAGGGCAGGACTAGTTGCAAATAAAGTATCATCACAGGAGGCAAATAAACTCTGGAAGTGCCCCAGAATAAAGGGGGCTGTAGAGGAGCTCCAAAGAGCATTGGACCTGAAAGCAGGGGCTGTCAAAAGGCTGATGATAAAGATGATGGACGAGAAAAGGGGCAAAGAAATTCAAGTTAATGTTCACTCCCCCAAGGGTTTCCAGTTGCTGGGGATCCAGAGGAGCTGTAGGACCGGCAGCAAGTCCCTTCTCCTCCCCGTGATGCTGCTTCGCGCTCCGGAGAGCCGAAGGGCACCCAAGGGAGCATTTAAGAGCGGCAGACAAATTTAACAACTACATTGCTGTGGCTGTTTCTAAGCAAGCGGTGAACTGTGGCCTTTGCTTCCTAAACAGCAGCTCTTTGCTATGTAAAGGAGCACAAACGTCGCTGGAAAGGAACAGCCCTAAACAACCCAGTCAAGCCGGACGCTGCTTCTTGCCCAGTGGCAGAAATGGCAGTGGTGGTTTTCAGGGGAAATAAAAAATTATCCTGGCTCCAGGAGAGGTAACTGCAGGTTAGAGCTGTATAAACCCAGCCGGTCATCTGCTTGCTGGAAAAATAATTTGTCAGGCATTTATTAGGATCAGTTTATTCCACTGCTGGTTCCCAATGGAAAGAACATTTTGGAACCCTTGTTACACAGCTCAGGAGCGGAAAACAGGGAGCGGCCAAGAAAATCTGAAAAATCTGTTTGCTGAGGGACACGAAGCCGTGCTGGGCTGAGAATGGGCAGGGGAGAGCCACTGCCTCCTGCCCAGAGGATGCTGCCCAGCCCCGGGCTCATGGGCAGGGGGAAGGCAGCGGGTGGAGGAGGGATCCTGCAGACACTCTGGGCCGGGTTTTGATGTTTGGGAAGGTGGAAATACCGGGGATGCCTTTTGCAGTGTGTGATCCCCTGGATATTGGTGGGAAGGGATGGGGGATACGTCCCCATCGTTGGCTATCCCTGCACAGAGCTGGACAAGATCTGCGTGCCGGGAAAGGCATCAGCAAAGGCGCTGCTGGATGGGTGCTGTGTGGGGACGCAAGCAAACCCGAGGCCAAGCACGTAATATTCCCCACACCGAGACCAGACTAAAGCAAAGCCACCGAGTCCTCCAAGCATTTCAGTCCCACCAGCCCCAGGGGAATGGAGGGGTTTCTCTCCGTGACACCTAAGCGAGCCCTCGCACGCCCCTCGACACGCAAGGCGAGCACGGGGCTGAAGCAAAACTCAAAAGCAACATGAATTGCTGCAGACCAATGCAGAGCCTCACCACAGGCAGTCCCCGGCAGAGAGGGGACACTGCAGCTTCAGAGGTTAGCAGACACGAGTTCAGCTCCTCGGTCCTCCTCATTTAATTGAAATGCACTGATTGATACCAGCTTATGACCTGGCTCACTTTTTAATGGAGATTCCTAGCCAAGGATCAAATTGGCTCTATAAATATTCATTAAATTAAGTCCAAGGCTGGGATGAATTATAGTCGCTCCACAGATGAGCAGAAGGGACTGTGGTGAAGAACTCGCCCGGGATCACACAGCAAAGTGTGACAAAGGGCGCGGACAGTGTTCCAACCACCGGCTGAGCTTCTCATCTTCCTCCTTCCCAGACTTTTCCCACACTGAGGAGCATCACCTCCTTTCAAAGGAGGGGAATAAACAGACACAATGACAGGAAAACCCCATGTGTGTAATAATGCACCAGGGAAAAGCCCCTGGCTTCCACTCCCTGCCCTCGGCTGCAGCTCAGCAAAGCCCGCGTCTCCCCCGAAATGTGTCCTGACATCAGTAGGATCGTGCCGTGGGCACAGCAGCCATCTCGGCCATCCCGGCCAAGGACGCGGGGCTCGGGGAGCGCTTTCCTGCTGGGGTTTGCAGCTGTTTGCAAGTCCCTCCACACATCGCCAGCAGTGCGGCTCCCAGACAAGCTGCCGGCCCTGGGTCCTGCTTGGGGCGGGGACAACAGTTGCCGGCTGATACCAAAAATGCACAGGCTTCAGAAATTTGGAGAATGAGCACGTACTGCGAAAAGCCTCGTTCATCGCTATTCCCACACTTGCCGTCTTCTCCGGTTCAAAGCGGGCTCGTTTTATCGGGATTGCTAATGAAGGGAGAGCCAAGCGTGCGGGAGCCCCTTTGCTGAGCAGTGGGAGGGCGGCAGGCAGAGCCGGGGCGCACGCCCCCCACATTGTGTCGGGCAGGACCCGGCGACGAGGGACGGTGAAACAATTGCCCTGGCTCCCACCGAAAGCGACGGGCAGCCACCCAACGCTTGCAAGCCCAGCATAGCCAAAAACCAGTGCCCAGCAGGTATCTCCATAGGCAGGGTTCAGCATGGCTGCAAACCGCCGCGGAAAACCCCTCTTTCTCCCCAGCTCACAGGGCAAGCCTGGGCTCCCCCAGCCGTGGTCATGAACTTGACCCTCCTGCCTCCCCCTGACCGTGCTGCCAGCCCAGGGCCACACCATGTCACCCACAAAGCGGAGGGGACCCGCACTCACATCTGTCCCTCGGGGGTGTAGGTGGAGCCGGTGATGCTGAACTCGTGCAGGCTGCACTGGGTGCCCTCCACCTTCTCCATAATGAACATCTGCAAGGGGGAAAGATGGAGACACAGCGTTAGGCAGCTATTTTTCGGTACAACCCATGTGCCCAGCCAGGAGACCCACCAGCCGGTACCATCCCAGCAATGGCCCCGCCGGCACCGGGCTCAGCCCCCTCCCTGGTCGCCCACCGCTCCTGGCCGTCCCCGAATCCTTCCAGCTCTCCCCTGCCTTTTTCATGTTCGCCTCCTCCAGCTCTTTTTGTTTTTCCATCGGAGAGGAGCGATGCTGAGCCAGTTCCTAAGAAGGGGCCTGTGTTTTTCTTGGAGCAGAGAAGGAACCGGGTCCGGGTTTCTGCTCCTGCCTTGGCTGCCCTGGAAAGCCTCTGCAGGGCAGGATCTGACCAGCCAGGAGCTGTGGGAAGGGGCTGCCCCTGCCGCCCTTGTCCAGCCAGCTCTCAGCCACCAGCTCGCCTTGCGCGTTACTGGGATCGCAGCTCGGCACTGGCAGTGTGGCAGCTCAGTAATAAAGCCCCGGGAAGCCATAGAAGTCCCATACACTCTCTTTTTAGCGATTTTTGCCTTTCAAACTCCTTCCAGTTTCTCTCTTGCTGCTACAGTGAGAGCAACGAAACAAAAAAAACCCGAAAATACAGTAAAAATTCCCCCTTCTCCCCAAGCTCCCCCAATGCCCCCTTGCACAGCCCACCCTTCGGGGCACCTCCAGCGGCAGCAAGAGCAGTGCCCGACCCCAGCCGGGGCGACAGTTCGGCCATGCTCGTTTCTGCTTAATCATTATTTATGACACATGCTTCAGCAAAAAAGTAACATGATAAACAAATAAAAAAAATTGGTTTGACGAATGTGTTTCCCCGGCCGCAAGCGCCTGTGGGGAGCAGCCAGGAGGGAGGATGGCTGCAGGAAAGCGATGTCCTCGGCTCTACAGACCTGCTCGACGGCTCCAGAAAATGGGTGTAGGGGCAACTGTCCCTCTCCACCCTGTCTCAAATAATTTATTTTCCCTATCTATTTTCCTCTGGTCATTTGAGATGTTCCGCAGGAGAAATTGGGAAGCATCGCTCAGCACCAGAGATGCAACGGCTCTGGGTACCATCCACTTCTCTCCCCTCTGCGCTTCCTCCAGCAACTAACAGAGGTTAATTTACTATTATTATTAATTATTGTTAATAATACAAGGACACCCCACCAGTGCAGACACGTTGACTGGTGGGTGTGAGACCTCCCCATGCAGCCCAGTATCCCCAGGTGCAGGCTTAGGGCCAAGCCAAGGAAAAAAGGTCAAGCTCGGGGAAGCACGTTTATGGCAGGTTTAGCACCAGGACACCTCGGCGGGTTGTCTCACCTCCGTATTTTACGGGTTTGGGCAAATCAAAGCAGGAGGTTCAAAGCATATGTCTCCTATGTAAACACTTCTGAGCCCAAAGCAACCTCCCCACAGCCCCACAGCTTCATAGCTATTTGCAGATACCCCATTTGCTGAGCTATTGCCCTCAGCTCCTTTCCCAGAGCCCTTCCTCGAGGCCCCTCAGCATCCCTGAAGAAAATCACAAGCCAAAGGGTTGCAGAAGAGACTCGGGACATCCCGGGCCCTCCGCTGAGCTCCTGAGCTCCTCTGGCAGGAGCTGCAAACACTAATGCGTGAAGGACCTTGATAAAGAAAGCCGAAACGCATCGCATCTCCTTCAGCGACTGAATTGCGCCGAGATGGTGGACTCCAGGAACAGAGATGAAGTGTGGCTGAAACTTCCCAAAGTGGAGGCTTCTGCAACACCAAAAGGGACCTTCGAAGGGTGAGCATCCTTCATCTCTTTTTAAGATGTCCAACACCATCAGCCTTCCAGAGAGCCAAAATCTCCCGGTCTCTTCAGAAAATGAACTCCTGCACTCAGAAATGCCAACCGGACCCTTATTTATTAAAAAACCTGAAAGCATCCACCCCAGCCACTGGTGGTTTTGCCTGATATGGGCCTGTTTGTTTTCAAATGCTCACAGCTACAAAACAATTACTACTTTCACAATAGCAACTTTCTTATTAAAAAGGAAACCTGTTTGTTTTCAAATGCTCACAGCTACAAAACAATTACTACTTTCACAATAGCAACTTTCTTATTAAAAAAGGAAAAGAAAAAAAAAAAAAAAATCATTCCAAGCCCTTTATTTTTCCATGCCTATTTAAAAAGGTGCTGCGTAACCCACAGCAACCAGAGGTTATATCAAATTTCCTGCCTGCTCCCGGCTTGCGTGACTGGCAGAGCGAGGGGGCGGCTGGCGGATTGCAAAGGTTTTTTGGCGCAATGTTTCAGCAGATTTCTAGGCTGAAAAGGGGGCAGGTTTGCAGGCAGTGGAAACAGTCCAGAGGAAATAGCTGTGTCTTGATCCACAAAGAGGACAGGTATGGTTCCCATCACAAAAATAATATAAATAATAACAGGAGCAATAGCAGGAGGTGGCAAAGCTGCGCGCCGCAGCTCGGCTGGGCGGTTTGGTTAGCCGGTTTAATAAAGTGTTTACAAGGCTGCCCGACCTCTTGCACTGCCACGGTGAACACCAGCTCCAGCATCCAGCAAGGGGAACCCAGCCAGCACCCCGCAGGGCTTCGCCCTGCTCACCCCCCCCTGCCCTTAACCCTTCCAAAATCATGCCGGCGATTTGGAGTTTTAATGCAACAGAGAGATGGAAAGGAAAACGTTACTATGCGCTTATGGAAGAGCGCACCCTGCTCCTCCTCTCCCGCAGATCTTGCCTGGCCCCAACGCTGTATCACACAGCCGGACGCTGCCGGCGTGTATTTTTAGAAAGCAAAGGGCACTCACAGCTGCACTGTCCCCAGAGCAGCACAGGGCATCTGGCTGCAGGCTCACGGGGAAGAGAGATGCGAAGGATACATCTCCACATTTCTGTATTTTCTGTAGTATCTTTAAAAAAAACTACTCATCAAAAGGCAGACAAGATAGGATTGCTGTCTGGAGTAGTAAGAGGCTGTAATCATCAGTCATTTATCCATCAATCAGCCCACGGATCAGCATCATTTTCCTCCTGCGCTGGAAGGCCCAGGCGCGGAGAGCCCCACCCCCCCCCCTCCCCCAGCCGGCGGCTCGGTCAAAGCCCCTGGGAAACCCCCAGCAAGGTCTCCCATTAATTAGTGACCAGTTTAGACGGACAAAACTGCTGAATCAAGGCACAGTGTCCTGGTGATTAAAAAGCAAATAGCGCCCACACAGCTCCTGGGCGGCTGCACCGGGGACAGGAGTTTGCACGTCCAGGCTCTGCTACAAGGTTTATTGAAAATAAACCCCTTTCTGCTGTTGTTCCCCAAAACACCAGCCATCTCGGAGACAGCCAAACGTCACCAGCCACCTCCCTCTCCTGGACATGGGGTGCCAGCATCTCCCCGCTCCAGCCCCGTCCTGCTCTGCCCCACGCAGCAGCAGCCCTGAGCCCACGCAGCCACACTCGCATCTCCGCTTCGGGTCCTGACTTTCAAACGCCACCCTCGTGCTCCTGGAAAATTAAGTCACGGTGCATAAAAGGGTGCTGCAACTTTTAGGAGACTGATTTAAATGCGCAAGAGCAGAGCTACAATGCCTCTCTGCCCCCTTCTCCCCCTGCCAGACTCCCATCACGCCCATCTGCACGGTTATTTAATGGTTGGGAGAAGGCTGTCCCTGGTTGCTCCGCACCGTGGGCTGGGTGAGATGGTGGTCTCAGAGACCCCTAGTTGACCATAAGATGAGCGACACAAATCACAGGTTTAATCTGATTTACTAAGTGGGTTTGCGGCTTTTCTGCGTTACTGAAGAGCTGTAACCTCTGGCAGACTCGAGGCCAGAGCAAAAGCACCAAAGTCTGGGCCACCCCAGATGGATGAGGCCCCCGGCACAAAGCCCTTCAGTGGGCGCTTAACACCCACGAGCATTTGGGGGACACCGCTTCGCCCATGCTGACCGCATGGCATCCCTATGCATCCTGCTGAGCTGGCTCAGCCGGCACCTTGGCCACGAGTCCTGGGCGCCGAGCAGGACCCCGAGCCGGCAGTGCAGCCCTTAAAAAAGAGCTGAGGGTTTTAAAACAGACTTGAAGCCTTTCAAGAGTCACTTTACACCTCTCCAGACCTGACGCCGGCAGCGAGACGTAAAGGGCAAGCACCGCTCGGCAGCATACCCTGTGGCCAAACAGCTGCGCTCACCCAAATTAAATGTCTGCGTCAATTAAATCTCACTCAATTAATACATTTCTTCAGGTTATCGATAGGCTTTTGTTGACTTTTGCACCCCTGTAGCTGAGCCGGCTGCTCGATGCAGGAACACGTCCAGGACACGCCAACAGCCGCCCAGCGCAAATATTTACCCACCCGCCGCTTGGCAGAGCCGACGGCAGCCTCCGTACTGCCTGCGTCAACGCGGGAATCCCTGTCCGTTAAACATTGACAGCCGTGTCTGTGTGTCCTGAGGCCAGCCTGGCTCTCGGTATCACGCCCTGGGAGTCAGGATTCAGCCAAGTGAATAACACGGACATCAGAAGGGGGTTGCGGGGAGACGGGGTGGAGGATACATGGAATTTTGAACTGAATTTTTTTTTTTCTTTCCCCCCAAATGTGCTGCTTTGCAAATTTTAACTTGGACCAATTCAGGGCTGATTGAAGCTAAAAACCTCATGAGTGCTGCTGCCCCACTCTGTCACCCTCCTGCCCTCTCCCTGTCTCAGATCGCTAATCCTGCTTCTCCCAACTGCACCACACCGGGGGAGACGGTGGCACTTCTGCCCTAGTTCAAGGAGCAGATCCTCCAGTAGGAAGTGGTTTGGGGAAGACAGGATCACGTCCTACCTCTCCTTCTGCAGTCTGCAGAGCTAAAGAGACCCCAAACGCTGGAGGTCACCCTTTACTCACTTCCCTGCATCCTGGGGGCAGAAAATCAGCAGTGTCCTGTGGTTCGGCCAGGGGCGGCACGCACCGCTCTGAGCTCCACACTGCTGCAGCCCACCAGAGTGGATGTGCTTTGGCCACTTGGTCCCAACAGCCCAAAAATGAAAACCCAAAAATTGAGGAGGTAGGAACAAATTCGCCATTGTCCTGGCATGAAAATCAACCCATAAAAAATAACCCCTGGTATTAATACGAAAGCGGTGTGAGCACGTGCCTGGGAATGCCCAGCTGATAAGCAGGAGGCATTGCCCCATCCCAGCAGAGCTGCATTTCTGGCACCCACCCGCACCATCACCATGGGCTCAGCACCAGAAACCTGAGGGATGGCAAACGCAACGCGAGCCGGCCACGTCCCCACAGCCCCGGGGGCAGGACCTGCTGGTGTCTCCTGGGCTGCTTTTTGGGCAGGGCTGGTGAGAACCTTCTCCTCATGGAAGATGTGGGCAGTTTGGTCACCGCCTCGTTCCAGCGATGTCTTGTTTTAAATCATTTACAGGGCAGAAATATCAGACATTTCCAGTTATCTGTAGTTTGTGCCGAGCAAACCAGTGGCCAAAGCCCGTGGCCAACTTGCAGCACGGTCACGGCTTCCCACCATGCTACCCAAGTGTCAGAGAGGAGGGACGGTGGCCAGGTCCATTTTTCCCCACAGCAACACATTTTCCAAGGTTCTCCTATAAAACCGACGCGCCAAGGCCATGAAAAAAAGCTTTCCTGAGACCTGAGGATTAATGGGGAAACTGAGAAGTACTCAGATGGTCCAGGCTTTCCTAACAAGTCACCTCCCCGGTCAGGCACACGGGAACAAAGCTCTTTGGTAAACCAGGAGCCTTCGACCTCTTTGCCAAACCACCCCAGGGCTCCCTCCGTCAGAAGTGCTTTTCGGTCTGAGCCCAGCTGCACACCACTGCGGATGGCAGACCTTCCGCCAGGTGAGGACGGGTAACCGAAGCACCGTTTCACTGGGTCACGGGCATCTTCTCTTGACCCCTGGATTTCTGCACGAGTTCATCATGGCCAGCTGGACCCATGTGTCGCACTGACCCTCCAAGTTTTGGCCTCACAGGTCCAGGCTTTGTAATTTTGCATGGTCCAGGATTTCTCACTGGTTTGGTTAAAAACAGGGGGAAAACAGGCAAAAGAGCAGAGCAGGCTGATTGCATTGGCTTCTCCAGGAGCTCTATCTCAACGTCACATCCCAGCAGGAAGAAATGCTCTCTGGAGAGGGAGCCCTGAAGTAAGTCTGCAACACAGCACCTCCAAACTGGTGTGCTCGTTAAAGTGAGTCTTCTAATTACAACCATGCCAAGAGAAGCCATAAACATTGACCCTGGTCAGGCAGAGAGGAAGCTCAAGGCTTCCTATAAACCACCTTCCATGCCCACCTTCAAATTCCTAATATGAAACAAATCTGGTGAGAACAGCAAAGCCCATCACCCCAGGATGGGGATGGAGCAGTGCAGAGTGCTCGGGGGCTTACAGAGCACCCCCCCCATGCACCCCAAAACACCCCCGGCACTCACCCGGCAGACGGACATCTGGTTGGTGGTGAGTGTGCCGGTCTTGTCAGAGCAGATGACGGAGGTGCAGCCCAGGGTCTCCACCGAGGGCAGGCTCCGGACGATGGCGTTCTTCTTGGCCATGCGGCGCGTGCCCAGCGCCAGGCAGGTGGTGATGACGGCTGGGAGGCCCTCGGGAATGGCAGCCACCCCCTGCGGCACCGAAATATTGGAATAGCCCCCCCCCCGCCAGTGCCACCGAAATCTTGAAATAGTAGATGGCCCCCCGAAACCAGGAGCCCCCGTGGACAGGGTCGCTGAAGTGGCTGACATTGATGACCCAGACGGCGATGCAGACTAGGAAAATCACTTTGGAGAGCTGCTGGCTGAACTCGTCCAGCTTCTGCTGCAAGGGGGTCTTCTCGGGCTCTGTCTCCACCATCTGGTTTCGGATCTTCCCAATCTCTGTGTACACCCCTGTTGCAATGACGACCCCTACGGCCTTCCCAGCTGCGATGTTGGTGCCCTGGGAGGGAAGAAAGGGACCAGAGTGGATATGTGGGCATGAAACCTCTTGGCCTGAGCCGGGAAATGGGTTGCTTGTTGTGAAAGGAGAGCAAGAGATCTTGGTTAATGGGAAAATGAGACATCCTGGGATTTTATATAAACCCACTCTACAGCAGCAGGAGACCCTCCTGAGAGCTCTCTTGCCCCTCAAGGACTTGACTTCTGCCCAAGAGGAGCATGAGCAAGGAGGAAACCCAAATTTGCAATACCTCCAGGCTCAACCACAAACTTTCTCCCCATCCGTAATGCATCCTACTTGACGGAAAACCTGCTGAGATTACCCAAGGCATTTAAGGGCGTCATATGCCACAGCCCAAATGAAATCCCATGGAAGCAGGTCCTCATTTTTATGGATTTGGGGCTCTTTTTGTGGATTCAGGGCTTTCTCATGCAGGCATTCCCTTTCACTGCTCAGAGATCTCCCGTGTCCATCAGCCTCTTCACTTGGCGGCTCTTTGGAAAACCACAGGAGAGGTGGGGACAGGCATAAGGGACTTACGGAGAAAAGCATGTTCTTCTTGTCCTGGTTGACAGCCCGGGGGTCGGGGATGGGGTCAGCATGTTTGATCACCGACACAGACTCCCCTGCCAAGACAAGAGGGGGGGAGATGAACCACCCGTGTTTCCTCTCCAGCATCTGCTCAACGCTGTTACGAGCCTGCATTACAACCCCTGCGGCTTTCTAAAGCAGCACTTTGCCACAAAACCATCAAAACATCCACCATGGGGATGTCAGAACTGGGCCAAGGTGCTCTGAAGATGAGGGCTGCAGAAAAAGGACCTGTGCGGATCGCTAGCGGCCACAAGCTTCCGTACAGCCCAACGGGATGGGGCCAAATCCCCGCTCCAGGGAGCCCGCTGGCTTGCAGCACAGGTTTGTACGGTCAGATGGGGTTCGTAGGGCAGCACAGCAGGAAAGGTGCCCAAAGCCCTTCTGCTGAAGGTTTATGTTTTGTTCTTTGCAGATTTGCCCTTTTGCTGCACCTCCTTTTGCCCTTGGAGAGCTAAGTTAATGCAAAGCCACTTTTCAAGGAGGCTGGGCTCCTTTCCCTGTGTTTTTAACATTTTTTCTGATTGCTTTTCTTTCCCTGCTGCCATCTCCTAACTCGATGCCTTTACAAAATCATGCACGAGAGCTGAAATACTGGAAGCCCTTTTAGTTGGCTGATCATTCACCGGCCTTCCCTGACAGCAGAGAAAGAGAATTTTTGAAATATCATAGATTATCAGCTTTAAGGGTTTTTCCAGTGCTCTAAAAAAAGCCCCAAATATTGTCACCTCTCCCTGAAGTTGCGAGGCCTCGTGCACCAGCGGTGATCATGCGACGGCTGCACGGGGGGAGCATGGGCAGGGACTGAGAGCCCCTCATGAAACCCCACGTGTTGCACAGGAAAGCCCCATGCTTTGCGTTTTGCAGGAGGGATGCCCAAGCACCGGGCACATCTCACCTATGCCATGACTTTTAGATGGTGCTGGGACCTCCCCAGGTTCTCAATCTCCTTCTCCCACCCATTTCCCACCCCGGCAAAGCACTTAGCCCACTGTCAGCCCCGAAATTTGGCTTGGGGCAGGTGGCAGAGGGAAAGCTCTGCCTTCAGCAGCCACCTCCACCCCACCGCGCCTGCACGCACCTGTGAGGATGGACTGGTCGACCCGCAGGGTGGTGGACCGGATTTCGATGATCCGGATGTCCGCCGGCACCTTGTCGCCAACTACAAGGGCAAGAGCAGAGCAGCTCCGTCAGGCGGGACCGGCAGCGCCCGCCGCCCCGGGGAGGGGGGACGGCAAACCCTGAACACACCAGCACAGCCAAGCTCTGCCCCAAGGCTTGGGGCCACTGGTTTGCACCTCGGTTCCTGCTGTCTCCCCTCGTTTGCTATTTCAACTGTCCGGTCTCCAGGGCAGAGACTGGCTTTTGCTGAGAATCACTATGTCCCTACGCAGTGCGGGTGCACGGCAGCACCCAGCCTGCAGCAACGAGGGGTCCAGCCCATGGTAAACCAGGGTCCTGCCCCGGGATGCCTCCTTTCTGCACGTAAAGCTTCATTTTGTATGTCTGTCATTTACAAGTCAAAAAAAGAAAGCTGGAAAGAGGCGCCATCAGTTGCAATCAGACATCGGGCAGTGCAGTGATGGGACCTTGCGGAATTTCTAATTTTAGGGGATTACCTTGCACAAAAGCAGCCAGCCCGGGGAGCTGGCAGCAGCGCTGAGGCCGAGGGGGTTACTCGTGCCATGCCAGGTGCCCTCCACCCTCTCCCATGGACCGACCGCATGTTTCAAGCATCACCTCCCCATGCAAAATTCGGCAGGAGCGAGCGCTGCCCTGTCCCTGCTGCACATGTATGCTGCCGGGGCGGGTGACCTGCCTGCCAGCCCTGCCCATCACCTTCCCCGGCTGCCACCCGAGCAAAACTAACTGTGCTTTGAGCCCGGTTTGCCAGGACAAGCAGCAAAGGCAGGAGCTCTGCACGGGGCAGCCGGGTGAGCAGAGGACATGAGTGGGGTCCCAGCAAGCCCCCATGTCCCACCCGCCTGGGCTGCACCTCTGCAATGACATGCGCTCCTCCGCCGCGGCTGGGACCCCCTTAACCATCACAAGCAGAGAGCACCCGCATCCCTCCTCCTGCCAGCGAGCGGGTAGGAGGGCAGGTATCTTCTGTCTTCTTTTTGGAGCGGAGCCACAGCAGTTAGAGGTGCAGGTGCGCTGTCCTCAGGGCAGCAAGCATCACACTCTCTGCCCTCCAGCCAAAGCTTCTGGGCACGGGGCAGCGTGGCCCTGCCTGCTGCCCCGCATCACCTGTCCCACCACATCCCCGTCTCCCCTCCTCCCTGCAAAACCCCCAAAACATCCCCATTTTGGAGCAGCCCAAGCCTCCCAATGCCACTATTAACCCCGTTTCAGGGCTCTGTCAACTGGAAGCTGTTGACACTGGAAGACCTTTCGTGGCCGAGACAAACAGCCATCCATGGGTCTCCTGGCACAGCACGGTGGTTATGGGTGGAAGCAGCCCCATCAACTGAGAGCCACTGATCACCACCCACCAAGGCGCATGTGCTTCCTTAAAAAACCCATTTAAAGCTGCTTTTCCCGCTGGGTTTCTTCCTCCCAGCTCTTCCTCCCGCTCCCTTATCGGCTGGACACAACCACGCTCCGGCGTTTCGGAAATATTGAGGCAGAGAGAGCCCTGGCTCACAGCACCTTACATCACGTTACACAACACTGCCGGCTTGGCCGCTAAGGATCATCTCAAATCCCAGACTTTAACGAGCGCTTCCTCCCAGGGCTCGTAAAACCTCTCCCCGAGCGCAGCGGGAGGGGGGCTGGCACCGCTCCACCGCTCAGCCATTTATTCCAGCTGCAGACGCGAGGGCTCTTGGATGCGTTGTGCAACATCTGCCGTCCGGCCAGACCTGCCCCGCTCCCCATTCACACCCATTTTTGGGGGGCTGAACTGGGGCGTACTAAGCACGGGGACTCACAGACCCTCCCAAATGTTTCCCTCAGACTTTGCAGCTGCTTGAGGGAGCCGGAGCACCTTAAAGGGAGCAAAGAGCTCCTCTTCCCCCCTGGAAAAGGTGGGGAGGGTTTGCAAACATTAGCTCAACCTGCAGATGAAAAATCTGTTGCCAGCATCTAGAGACAGCGTCGAGCCCTGGTGCCATGGGGGTAGTGCCATCCGCTCAAGGGTAGATAGTGCGATAGCATCCCAAGAGACTCGCACGGTGCAGGATAGACGTACGACCTGGCAGCTGCCGTTAGCCAGCTATTAAACATGCACTGATCACCCAAGCACTGCAAGTCTCCCCCGTGCCAAAAGCCAAGGGAAAGAGAGGAAAACGGGAGGCAACGCTCCCCGAGCAAAGCAGGAGCGGGCAGGTGGTGCAGCACCTGACGGAGCTCCCTGGGCAATGCCCTGCCCGCGCTTTTTGGGCAAGGCAGAAAGCTGGTGCTGCAGCCGAATTTAATCCCTGTGCCGCTGCCTGCACGAGGACTCACCTTGATTGCCTTGTTACAAAAGAGCAAAAATCAGCTGGGTTTAAACAGCTTGCCAACTTGCAACCATCATTCCCCTCTTGTCTTATAGTAGCAGGTTTTCTGCTCCCTCCTGCCAAATTTCTTGCATTTGCACATGCAAACAGAAGCCAGTCCCTCCTGCCTGCACTGTCCCTGCCATCCCCAGGATGTCACCTGGATGTCCGCTGCACATTCAAAGCTATTGCTCCTGGTGCACTTTCCTATCAGGCAGCCTGACGGCATCCTCGCCACTTGCTATAACCTCCTAAACCCATTAAAATTAAATTTGCTAATTAATTTGCTAATAATTTGCAAACTCCTCCAGAGGAGAGCTCAGCTCTTTCCCTCCCAGGCGTGATGCTGATTGTGCCATTAAAAAGTAATATTCGGCCACTGATGGACAGGCAGCAAGCACTTAATTTGGGGAAAGATGGCAGAATTTAATTAATTAATAATTAATTAATTTAATTAAAGGCCAGATCAGCAGCTGGAGTGCATTGCTGGAGCTGGCTTGGGAGCACCGCCAGCTCACCCAGCTGAGGATCTGGCCAGCACTCCTCCGCTTGATCCTCACTGCCTTATTTTTACATTCATCTTCCAGCTGAAGCCCAACTGGAAGACATAAATAACAGCGAGCTGGCTGGGCACGGGAGGGATTGCAGCATGTTTCCACTAGCAGGGCCACGAGGAGGAAAGGAGAGGATTAGTTTTGCGGCTCTGGGGGTTTACGGCATCGTTTAACGAACAAACAAAATGGCATAATTGAAATGCATCCTCTTTAGCTCTGGTGGGGCAGGCAGGAGAACCCCCCAGGCATCCTTCGCTGAATGCAAAACCCCGACAGAAGGGCTGGGGGGGACAATCTGACCGGGGAGGCAAAAGCACCCTGCAGCCGGTCCCCTCTGCCTCTCGCCCTCCCCGAATAACAAACCCCAGTTACCAAGGAAGCCTGCCCACGCAGGGAGGACCAGCGCCGCTGCCTGCAGCGTTGAAACCCCTCTGCACTGGCGGCACTCGCCCGGCGCCCCC